TGGGTAACAGGTGCTAGGAATTGATTATGCTCAGTGTTCAGGAATGTGCAGGGCTGCCTGGTAGGCTCAGTTGGAAGAGCATGTGACTCTTGATCTCAGGGTCATGAGTTTGAGCCCCATGCTGGGTGTAGAGCTTACTAAACTTAAAAAAAAAAAAAAAAGGAATGTGTGAAGTGACCCTTTGCCAAGCTTCATCCACAAAGCACCTTCGGGAATATTAAGTTTAATTCTTTCTGAAAGAAGGGAGATTGGCAGACTTCTTGGTCCCCTTCAGGACCAAGAATCAATGACTTTATTGCACTAAGCTGTCTCAAATCTCCTGCCAGCTCTGCTTCCATGGTCAACATCTAAAATGTATGCTCACCATCGACGATATGCTAGGGGTTGGAGAGGATATAAAAATCTCATTCCTTTTTGGCAGGGCCAAATCCCATGGGGATGGAGAAACTCACCAGTAAACCCAAACGAGCAAATACCAGCAACTTTGGGTATGCCTTGAGGGCATGCATGTATGTAAGAGATGTTGTAGGAGAGGGGAAGAAAAACAAACCACATTCATTCATTTTTAAAAGGCACCTGTGGTTTTGTAAATGACTGAGAGCCTGTAAAATGTGCCTTTGGGAAGTATACCTCTGAGAGTTCCCATGCTTCATTCAACAGAGTGGGGCCACTTTCCTTAGGTGGTGATTCTCCAAGCTCTGTACTCCCGGAAGTGAGGGAAACGACTCAGTAGATTAAACACTTCTGCTTTCTTGAGTGTTTAGTAAATGCAGGACAGTGGTTCTATGGGAGTATCAGCATGGCATGATTGTTAGTTGAGCCTGTGGGAATCTTCTTGACTAGTCCTATGGTGTATCTGGATAAACCAAGTCACCATGTGGGCTGCTCCCCAGATGCCTTCACAGATGACAGTGAATGAGACCCATTGGATCTTTCCCCCATCATGCTTCATCCTTCTTAAATGGAATTCCATAGCTTTTCTGCTTATTTAAAAGGTTATTTTAAAAAATCTAACTGTAAATTTTCAAATAGCAAACTGCTTTTTTGCTTAAAATAGTCAGAAAATTCTCTATTGCATAAATCCCAGCCTTGGGATATCTCTACAGATCTACTCCCTTTCAGATAAGCCATTAAAACTCCATTTTTTTTTTTTTTAAAGATTTTATTTATTTATTTGACAGAGAGAGACACAGCGAGAGAGGGAACACAAGCAGGGGGAGTTGGAGGAGAAGCAGGCTTCCCACCGAGCAGGGAGCCCGATGTGGAGCTCGATCCCAGGACCCTGGGATCATGACCCGAGCCGAAGGCAGTCGCTTAACGACTGAGCCACCCAGGCGCCCAAAACTCCATTTTTTAAAAGAAGAAAAATAAAGCATTCTCAGAGAGGTCAAGTGGCTTCCTTAAGACTACAAAGTTGATAAACTCTTTAAAAGGAGGTCCTAGAAATATCTAGGATTTCACTCCAAAAACAAGTCCAAATGAAATAACAGGTATCTGGAAAAATAGGTAATAATGTGACAATTATTTGGTGACCATCTGAATAATAGCCCTTTCGCAAGTCAATGATCTACACAAGACCAGAACAGAAAATTCTGGCTGATGAAATGGACAATATCATAAGGATGGAATGAGAAAAATACCATCGTTGCAACAACTATGCACCCTAGGAGCTGGATGTTTCATATGAATGCAATGTTGTCACATTGTAAAAGCATAGCAATATTAAGGACTGCAAGAAAATTTCCTCTCCATCAATCTAATGCTAAGAGATTTGACACCAAAGCAAGAGTTGAGCCAAAGGGAAAATGGAAATCCATGGCAATAACCAGCAAAACCATCTTTAAGAGAAAAAAGAAAAAAGCCAAAAACCAAAAAACAACACAACACAAAAAGGCAACAACAACAAAAAGAATCTGTCCTTCAGAAATGCACACACTCACAAAGATACGCACTGTGAGAGCAAGTCCACTGCAGCAGGAACACGGCTAATGAGGAGCTGTGGTAACAACTCACATGTCGGTAGCAAAAAGTCAAGAAGAATCCAAATCAAACCTTTCTGACTAGTTATTCCTAGGTAGTAAGAGTGGCTTGAAAGAAAGAATAGGAGGAATGTGGTGAGGATTTTTACTTTTGAGTTGTATAATCCCTTCTGGATTGTTTGTTTTGTTCTTACATTGCATTATTTTTTTATTTAAAAATGTCTTAAATATTACTTTTAAACAAATTTTAAGCCTGATGTGTTGGAGGCATCATGATGTCTTGGAGTTGAGGGAAGCTGCAGGCATCTCAGCCAGATTCAGCTTCACAGCCTGGCTGTCTGCATGGAACTCAAGAGAGAATGGCCACCTCTAGCTTGCAAGTGCTCTGGCCTTAGGAGCTAGCTTCCAGAAGCTGGTGCGCCCCAGTGATGTGAAAAATCAAATAAGATTCATGGTTTTCATAATCTACTCCTGCACTGCGAAACATCCATGACGTTGTCTCAATAGGGACTCCAGTAACTCCCAAATCCTCCCGGTTCCTACCAGGTGCTAAGTTCGGTAGTCAACCTCAGGAGAGCCTGGAACACAAAAGACTGAGGTGAACTCTAAACCAGTTGGTTGGTAGGGCAGCACATTCTCTACTACAGCGTAACTACAGTCTCACGGGGCCTCAGGGTCTATGCAGTCATCACCCCCAACACCCATCACTGGGACATTCTTCCTACCATCTTGGAGTTGGAGGAGAATTGGTTTTTGCCCTGACCTTGCCATTTTATGTACTCAAAGGTTAGTATTTTACACATTTCAGTAAACATGGGGGCTTTCTTTGATCTTCTCTTAGGGCCTTCTACCTCTTACTCTCCACACTTCACCCCTCCACACCATACCGTGAGGCGCATCCAGCTCTACTCCCTGCTCCCTCGGAGAGACATATCACTGTAATAAGCATCCTTAGTTCTGTCAGCACTTAATGTTACTTAATTATACACAGTGTCAAAACTGGGAGGCACACCTGGAAAGGGTTTGCCGGGCACCAGTGTTTAAAACTATGAAAGAGATTGAGAGCAAGAAATAGGCCATTTCTGTTCCAGTATCTGCTCCAGTACCTGAGGCTCTGCCTTCCACATCTTGGTGAGAGCAATACATGGAACTATAAAATGATAAAATTTTGTAGCCAGAAGGAACCTCGAGGAGATCAGTTTCCTTCATTCCACAGCTCAGAAATTGGAGGCCTGGGTGGTAAATCTGGGTCATTTAGTAAATATCAGCCAGAGTCTGGGCTTTCCTACTCAGAGCTCAGAGTTGTTTCTGCTGTCAGGTTGCTTGTCAGACGAATGACTGCCCGACTTTACCACCCAGTTTGCACAACCAAAGGAGACTGGAAGAGAGACTCAAGTTTAAATGATCTAGTAAATATAATTATTTGGAGAGACTACATTTGCCCAATTTAACTGAAGTTTTCCACTTTCCACTGAGTTTTTATGTTGATAGCCTCAGGCATATTTTTAGTCATTTGAAAGTTTTGACCAATGCTGAATATACATTGAAGACAAAATATAAGTCAGATTTCAATCCAGTATTAAGTTCTAATTCCTCTATAATCTGTATGACTTGCCTCAAATAATGACATCACCAGGTTGAACCCAATATATTTTTACATGTCAATGGTGAAGGTACAAACTTTTCATGTTATGTCCCTATTATGCAATTACTTCAAGGATAAACAAAAGACTTAAAAGCAACTAATGCGTGCAAGGGAACATTGTAATAACATGACTACGTGATATTCACCAACCAGATTCTCAAATCACATTGTCTTTTAAGAACTGAACTTTTGCCCTCTAATCTTTTCTTTTTTTAACTAAACAACCATCTGACAGCTTTGGGTTTCATTTCTTTCATTTTCTTGCTCGTAGAGAAAGTTTTGATAAGAGAAATAGATAAAATAGACAAAAGAAAGCAGAAAGGCATAAATATATCAGAAACTGGAAGGGAGAAGTAGTTGGTTCCTGGAGGAAGAGAGAAACGTTGGAGGTGTGGTCAGAGGCGTGGTCAGGAACCCCTTGCCCATCAAGGCTCCTACTTTCTCTGTCTTCCCCTCTGGCTCTCATCCCTCCTGCCAGAGGTGAGCTGGCCATCTACCAGTGACCTTGAACAAACAGAAAATGATAAAGCTCCGAAACTCAGATTTAGACACATCTCCCAGGCCAAAACTGGGATCACTTACAATGCCTGGGAGTAAGCCGTCACAACTAGCCACTCCTGTCCTCCACTGCAATCCAGTGTCAAAAGAATACACTTTTGGGAATTACAGTAGGCCTTGTAAAGATGATCTAATCTAAACCCTCCTCACTGTTTTTACAGAAAAGAGAACTGACATCCAGAGAAATGAGGTCACTTGCCCAAGGTTATTCAGCAAGACCAAAGTAGATGACCAAACCACAGACTTGCTTTGTTTGGAGCTCTTTCCTCTATGAGCAACTTAAAAGCTACGGAACACACACTCTCCAAGTTGGAGAGATGAAGAACAATTACAAAACGGCACAAAACAACATGAAAATAAACTAATCCGAAATAATAACCTCACCCCAGCTCCCAGAAATCCGGTGAGGGAGCGGCAATGAGTGGGCTGTTTTATGGAGTAATGGTACCTGGAACAACGCAACTGCACTTTTCCCTCTGTCACCCATTTCTTGAAAAGAGAGACAATAAAAATGCATACAAAACTGCCGAAACTTACTTTGAACCAACACAGGCCTTTTTGAGACTGAAAACTTGGGGATCAACAAATTTTTCCCTACACGGGCTTACAGAAATCACATTATTAAAGTTAAAACTTCCGGTCATTCAATGCGTCTCAAAACCCTGGGGGAAAATGAAATGCCTTCCACGGAAATGGGTCCTCTCCCCTCACCTGCACAGGTAAAAGCCAGAGAGGCTTCGCTTTAGTGTCAAAGGTGTGACCCACGAGGCTTCACATTCCACAACAGGACCTGAGCAAAAGAAGAAAACTTTCCTTACCCTTAAAAACCACAGAAACGATGGGATCCGGTTTCCCAAATTTCGTTTTAGGGATATTGCTGGCAGATTCCACTATCACCCGAAGCATGGCTCTTCCTGGGCAGAAAGCAAGTTCCAGCAAACGGAGTTGAGCCGGGTCTGCGCTGGGGCTCCGGGCGCGCCGCACCGCAGGGGGAGGGCGTGGTGGTTGCGGGGGGGGGCGGTGAAGAAGGCAGATTTCTCCAGTCCCGAGCGCAGGGGGAAAGGCAAATGGGTGGATCTCTGACGGATCCTGTACTGAAGGCTAAGTGTAAACTGACACCCCAACTCCCGAGGCCCCCGCCTGCGGCACCCGCTTAAGAATTGAGAAATGTGGAAGCGAAAAGGACCAAACCTCAACTAAAAATAATTATGTGCAACAAATGAAACCGAAGTGGGTTGGCGCTAATAAATGCGGCCAGGTCAGGAGACCACCAGGACACTGCTGCCTTTTAGCCAAAAATCGTGAAGCCGAATTGATTGGTTTTCAGCCTCCCCTTTTCATTCTTTTCTGAGCTTCATGGAGTTTTAAAACTTTAATTAGGTATTTTTTTTTTTACTTTTGCTGTTTCTTCTCTCATGCTGTTGAACACACCCACTCAGCAACCACTTATGTTCAAAAAAAAAAAGAAAATCGGTGCAAGGGTGCCCCCTGTTGGATGGCAGAGGAATAACTGAGTTTATTGCAAGTAAACCCAATCCAGAGGGTTTGCAAAATTGGGTGGATTGAGGGCTGATCTTTTGCCTTACAAAAGGATTCAGCATAGGATTTCTTCAAAAATCCTTACGAGATGACAGCTGGGCACTTAGGTGTTCCTGGTCCATCAAAAGCTGCTAACAATCTTCAATGGAAATGGAGAAATGGCTCTCCACTTTTTCAGAGCTAACCCCCAGCAGTGTCTTCCCTTCTTAAGGCTTTATTCAAGGGAAGGGGACCATCGCACTAGACATAGGGACCACTGCAATGAATTTTGTAGTGGAGGAGAGAGATTGGGCTCAACTCGGAGTAGAGCATGGGCAAGTGTGAATTTATAGTCAGTGAGGGGGCCAGTGGATGCAAAGTTACTAGGAAGAAACATCAGGGTTTGGGGGCGCCTGGGTGGCTCAGTTGGTTAAGCGACTGCCTTCAGCTCAGGTCACGATCCTGGAGTCCCAAGATCGAGTGCCGCATTGGGCTCCCTGCTCGGCGGGGAGTCTGCTTCTCCCTCTGACCCTCCTCCCTCTCGTGCTCTCTGTCTCTCGTTCTCTCTCTCTCAAATAAATAAATAAAATTAAAAAAAAAAAAAAAAAGAAAAGAAAAGAAACATCAGGGTTTGAAAAGGCGGTTTTGGTTAAACAGACCTAACAGGATTTTTGCTGAAGGTAGATCAGGATGACCAGACATCAGTTGGGTGATCGGGGAGGATGAGAAACCCCATCAGGTATCAAGAGTGATCAGATACGGAGGGTGGGGGGTTTTGGTTAAACAGACTTTTACTAGGAAGTGCACAGATGGGCCCAGGGGGAATGTTCAGAGGAGCCTGACTACAGAATCTCTGTGACCCTGAGGGTGTGTTAGGTGGTGTAGCCTGATGAGTAAGATCCCTAGAGGATGCCTGGGGTTAGTAGCCAGCCAGACCTGAGGATGGGTCCCTGCTTCACCATTTCTGAGCTATGTCACCTTACAAGTTTCTAACCACCACCCCCCCTTCTGTAGTTATCTAATCTGCGAGGTAAAGTTGTCGTAAGATGAAGGTCTTAGTGTGGGGCCTACGCACAGAGCATGCACTGAGGCACACACGTACACAGCCAGACGCTCATGATGGTATGTGATTTTGTAGCATTTCCTGTAATGCAAGTTGGCTTTAAATCAGGATCTCACTGTGTTCAGAAGAAAAGGCTAAAAACTTAGGGCAAAGGAGCACAGGGTTTCTTTCTACTTTTGAACAGACACCCGAAAAGACCATTTGTAAGCAAACACTTCAAGTGCATTGAAAAAGCATGGCATTCTGTCTCCGTGAGCGTCTCAACTGCTTATATAAACAACCATTGAACAATGCTATATACATTATTGACTAAAGAGACTATATTAGACTAAATAGTCTATATTTTGGTGGAGTATAAGCAAAATTATGTTTATTTTGTTTAGCTGATTTTTATTTCTCCTTTTTTTTTCCTTCCCCCCATTTCTCCTTTTCATTGTGAAACATATTACAGAAAAATTCAAAGAACATAAATGTGACCATTTAACAAACTAACATCTAGGTCAGGATAGAGAACATTGCCAGCACTCCAGAAGCCCCTTGTTTATCCCATATGTCACATTGACCTTCTTCCCCCCGCCCCCCAGAGGTAACCACTCTCTTGATTTTTATGGTAATAATTTCTGTTCTTTATAATGTTTACCCCCTGGATTATGACCTTTATATGATAATATGAATTATTTTATATATTACAAATTTTGTATACAAACATATACAAACCTATGTATATAATACACACATACATATATTCATACAGAATGAATTCTTTGCTATATTATGACCTTTGTAGAAATGGAATCATATAGTATGAATTGTTTTGTGTTTTGGCTTCTTTCCTACAACATTACATTTTGAGATCCATCCGTGTAACTACTTTGTTTACTCTTTGCTATCTAGCATTTCATTGTGTGAGTGTACCGCATTTTATTAATCCACTCTACTTTTGATGGACATTGGATTATCCATAGTTAGGGGCTATTACAAAGGGCTACTGTGAACATGCTTGTGCATATTTCCTGCTACAATGTTCATGAACACATTAAGGATCTAACCTATGAGTGGAATTGTTGTATCAAAGGGAGTATGCATTTCTACAGAATTAGTGGGTAATTCAAAAATTGTTTTCCCCAGTGGTTGTACTAAAGTTTCATCAGCAGTGTGTGAGAACTCCTGCTCATATAGGTGGCAGTGTTAGATTTTCCCATGTTTGCCCACCCAGTGAGCTTATAAATAGTATTTCACTGGAGTTTTAATTTGTGTTTTTCAGGTTACTCATGAGGTTGAATACCTTTTCATATTTACCTGTCCTAATTTTTGAAGTGCATGTTCAAATCTTTTGCCAATTTTCCTTTTTGAGTTCTCTGTGTTTTTCTTACAAATTTGCAGGAGTTGTTTATGTACTTAATACTACTCTTTTGTGGGTTGTAGTTTAAATAAATTGAATTTATCAATATTTCCTTTATGATTAATATATTTTTCATATTAAGAAATCCTTTCCTACCCTGGGATCATGAAGCTATTCTTCAATATTACCTGCTGGAAGCATTTTGTTTCATCTTGCACATTTATTATTTTTTTAAGATTTATTTATTTATTTTGAGATAGAGATGGGGGAAGGGGAGGGGCAGAGGGAGAAAGAGAGAGAGACTCCTTAAGCAGACTCCGCCATGAGCACAGAGCCCAATTTCATGACCCTGAGATCACGACCTGAGCCGAAACCAAGAGTCAGACACTTAACTGACTGCACCACCCAGGCGCCCCTCATCGTGCACATTTAGATTTATATTCCACTTGTAATTGATTATGTGTCATGTTCAAGGTCAGAGGTCACATTTCACTTTTTTCAAATATGGATATTCAATTGCTCCAGTACCATTTATTGAAAAGTTTGTCCTTTCTCCAAACGTGGGTCATATATGAGATGTGTAGATGTGTGTGGGTCTGTTTCTATGTTTCTGGGGGGTTGGGGGGGGTCTGTGCTGGGGCTTCAGTGGAGAATAAGCCCAAGTTCTGACCTGGCGGAGCTCTACATCTAGTGGGGACCACAAGCCAGGTCTCACGTGTCTATCATTTACTGCTTTTGGCAGAGAAAAAGAAATAGAAGAGAGGAGAGTCTTAGCAAAAAATCTAGATGTGAGGAGCCAAGTAATAGGATTGGAAAGAGGGGTTAGTGGAAAAGAAATGAAGATAAATTCATAATATCTTATTCCAATTTCAGTTTTGCAGAATCTTAGGTATTACCTAACAGCAATTTTCAAACTGGCATGCACAGAGGGTCCATCATTAAGATCTCTTTCCTGAAATACTTCTTTAAGAAGTATTTCAGTTGATAACTAAAAGGATTTTTAGAACAAAAATACTGTTTTTTGGTAGTTTAATTATAGGGTTTTGCATAGCAGTAGATGTTACTTTTAAATAACTTAATATATAGTGTATTTAAATTTTGTTTCTTTAAAAAAGCACCTGTTAGTGACTAAGTCTACATGGGGGGCAGGAGGGGACAAGGTATTTTATAACACTTGCCACCATTATATTGTCATTACAAGGCAATTGAGGAGCTAAACACAAAATAGGAATGAATCCGAACTTCTCCAACTCACTATGAACATATTCTAAAATAAACCTAGAAAAAAAAAAAAAAAAGAAAGACCAGGGAAAAGTGGAATCATGTTAAGCCTTGTGCTCACTTTTATGTAAAACAACAATTTCTCATCAAAATGTTTGATAGACGAATGCTCCCAATTATCCTTCTGTAAGAGTCTTCATTCATTTATGGACATGGGCCTGTATTCAGCTAACAGCTAGTGGAAGTCTATTTGATGCCAAGCACAATGCTAACTACAAAGATGAATAAGACACATGTCCTCTCTGCAAGAAGCTCACAGTTAATTATAGCCCATTCAGGTGCATGCAGTGATAGAGGGAGACAGAGAAGACAGGTGTCTAACAGGGCAGGCGAGGGCAAGCAGGGTAGGCTCCTGGAGGAGGTGGATTGAGTGCAGAATTCCTTAACTTACAGTGAGGTTACATCTCAATAAACCCATCCTAAGTTGAAAATATTGTAAGTTGATATTTATATTTAATGCATTAAATATCATAAATGCATTTAATATACCTAACCTACCAGACATCACAGCTTAGCCTAGCCCACCTTAAACATGCTCAGGACACCTACATGAGCCTATAGTTGGGCAAAATCATTTAACACAAAATGTTGGCTCTCTCATGAAATGTATTGGGTATAGTACTGGAAGTGAAAAATAGAATGGTTATATGGGAGCAGAATGGTTGTAAGTTGTATGGGTTGCTGACCCTGGTGATGGTGTGGCTGACTGGGAGCTGTGGCTTGCTACGCCTGCCCAGCATCGTGAAAGAGGATAGTACCAGACAGCACCAGCCTGGGAAAGGATCACAATTTAAAATATGGTCTTTACTGAATGTATATCGCTTTTGTACCACCGTAAGATCAAAAAATTATTAAGTTGGGGATGTGTGTATTAATGGTTGAACTGACATATGTATGATCTGAAATAGAATTAAACAAATACACGTGGTGAGCATTAGAAACTTCAAGCCATTCAATGTTGGCAGAACATCACGTGTGAGGTGAAACGGTGGAGCAGTCAGCCTAAGCAGGCAGGCGGGCACTGCTCAGAGAGACTGGTTTGCTCTGTTAATAACAACTAACATCTAATGATTGCTCACTATGTGCCAGACGCTACCCTCAGCATTTTATTTTGTCTCATTCAATCCTTCCACTGCCCTATCCTATGGGGTAAATACTATTTTATCATCCCCATTTTACAGATGAGGAGACTGAGGCCTAGTTTGGTTAAGCAGTGCCCAGGTTCTCACAGTGAGTGGAGCCAGGGTGTGAACACAGGCAGTCTGCCTCTGGACTCCATGTTCTTACCTCCTTATACCATGCCTCAGTGGCAGTGGGGACTTTACTAGAGATGCATTCTTCAGCAGGGAAACAAAATGATTGAATTACATACCAATACTCTGGATATAAATGCAACATTTTAATAACCCCACAGACTGAAAATTAATTTAAAAGGATCTAAAACAGGCTGAGCAGTCAGTGCCCAAGGAGCTGCTCTCTTCAAACTGAATGCACCATGAACTGAGAACCAACTCTTCTAAATGAAATTAGTCAGCAAGGGACAATCTGCCCAACCTGGCCCGGAAATGGCTTTCAAACGTGTTACTTACTGATAGGGCTGCTTTGATCTCAGCTAAATGCTAAGGGTGTCTCCCTATTTACTGATTTAGAATGCAGCCCTTCCTGGCTGACCATGCATGAACTCTTCTAACCCAGGAAAGAGCAGTGGGTTGACCCTGAGAAGGTGCTGGGCGCTAAAATGATGCTTTTTGTGCCTGTTAATAAATATTGATTACAAAAAGGAGGAGAGTAAAGAATTTGTCTATTTCTCCACAGTAGTGTAGGGCAGAGGACGTCCAGATCAGTTTGTTCATTTGTTCATTGGGCAAATACTTATTAACTTCCTAATTTGTTCAAGCACTGTGATGTTAAGCGCTGAGGACATACTGGTGAGCAAAATCAGACAAATTCCTCAAGGAGTTGCAGTCTAGTGAAGGAAAAGGACACTAATCAAAGAATCACTAACAGGGGCGCCTGGGTGGCTCAGTTGGTTAAGCAGCTGCCTTCAGCTCAGGACATGATCCCAGAGTCCTGGGATCAAGCCCCACATCTGGCCCTCTGCTCAGTGGGGAGCCTGCTTCTCCCTCCCTCTGCCTGCTTGTGCTCTCTCTCTCTGCCAAATAAATAAATAAAATCTTAAAAAAATAAAAATAAAAATTCCTTAAAGAAAAAGAATCACTAAGAACGTGCAATTATAACTATAGTGAATGCTTTGAAGAAGTAGGCTGTAAAGAGAGGAAATCCCCTTCTCTAGGAGGCAGGAAAGCCTTCCCTGAGGCAGTGAGGATAGAGCAGAGATCTGAAAGGGAAAAGAGGTAATAGTGGGAGCATAAAGATTGGGGGACAGCCTGTAAAAAGGCCCTGAGGCAGGAAGAAGGCTGCCAGGTCAAGGAATCAAACGTGTCCAGTGTGGCTGGTTTGAGACCAGGCAGGGGAGGTCAGTCTAGCTCTGCTAAGCCTGAAAGAACAAATTGGGGATTTGCTGTTTTATGCCAAGAACAAAGGTGGGTCAATAAAATGTTGTCAGTGTTTGTGTTGGGGAATGTGTGACATGTTTAGATCTGCATTATTCCAAAAAAAATCCCTACTGAAGGGAAATTGGATTGGAAGGAGGCAAGAGTTTACTTGGTCCTTCTCTTCCTGCATTTAAAGAACATTTATTGTGTGCATACTGACGCTGTCCAATAGGAATGTAACAGAAGCCACATTTATCATTTTGAATTTTCTAAAAGTCATAGTAAAGAAAGTAAAAAAAGTCATAGTGAGATTAATTTTAATATATTTTATTTTTCCCAATATATCTATATTACCATCTCAGCATGTAATAATATAAAAAAAGTACTAGTGAAGTATTTTGAGTTTTTTTCATACTTAGTCTTTGAAATCTGCTGTGTATTTCACACAGCTCAATTTAGAAACAAAATTTTCATTAGAAATACATCTGTATTTAGATTTCATAAAATTTACACTTGAAAAAATAGGTTTGTGTAACCAAGTTGTTCCAAACATATTTATTTTTTTTTTTTTAAGATTTTATTTATTTATTTGAGAGAGAGAATGAGAGACAGAGAGCACGAGAGGGAAGAGGGTCAGAGGGAGAAGCAGACCCCCGCTGAGCAGGGAGCCCGATGCGGGACTCTATCCCAGGACTCCAGGATCATGACCTGAGCCGAAGGCAGTCGCTTAACCAACTGAGCCACCCAGGCGCCCGTTCCAAACATATTTAAAGGTTTTCCAGTAACTGAATCCATGACCAGTTTTTAAATTAAAATTAAGTTAATATTAAACATTCAGTTCCTCGGTCAGAGTCGCCACATTTCAAGCACTCGACAGCCATATGTGGCTACATATTGGACAGAGCGGAAGGAGCTTTTCCATCACTGCAGAAAGTTGTATTGGAAAACAGAGATGTATCTGCTGGTGAGGCCCTGGGCATTCATCAGCATCCTTTTGGAAGACCTAATCTTTCAAAGTTGTTGATCATATTCATCTAGAACAGCCCCACTATTTCCTTTTATGAAGGCAGCCTTTTGGTACTGTTTTGGTTTCTCAAGAAGATTTTCCTACTGGGAGGACAATGAGCTAACCTGCTGAAATAAAGATCCAGTCGGCTTGGCTGTTACATTTTTGTTTGAATCCTTGCCCTAGGATCCCTCAGAGTAAGCTGTCAACATCAAAGTACTAGCACTTTTGTGAGGCCTTATGCAAACTACAACCCCTCACACTTCATGCCTGGCAGCACATATCTGCGAAGAGCAAACATTGATTTTTCAGGTCTAATAATGACAATTACAAAATTCAACAAGCCACAGGACCAATGAGCCTCCTGCTGGCTCTTCTTCCTCAGGGGTCCGCAGTCACAGAGGGAGTTCCCACCAGAAGAGAGGGACCTGGGAGCAGATGTGTAATCAAGGTGTCGGGGCCCAGCAGGCCCAGGCACCAGGCCCTCAGCTGCCAGTATGGTCTGCTGGGTACCAGTCCTCTTCAGAGAGTCCCCTCCAGTTCCCTCCCTTCTTTACTCCCCATTTGGCTCAAAACTAAGCAGGGTGATTTCTTTCTCTGTCACTAAGAATTTTTGCAAATTTCGACGGAAACTAATTTTGCCCTTGCTCTCAACTGTGGGCAATGTATAACATTCACACCCTCCCTTGTCTTTTGCCACGACTTCCTCCCACCCCAATCCCATCTGATACTTTAACATAACAGATGTGAAAGAGCCCAATTCTATTCACTTTTCCATCAGAAATGTGAGCCCCTTGGAAGGAGGGACCAAATGTTATCTTCCTGTGTTTTAAAAAAAAAATTCTTTAAAATTCTCTACACAGCTTCTCATCCATTTTATGCAGTTAGTGGGTGTTTGTTGCTTCTTACGTAATAATGGCTAATGTCAGTTGAGCATTTACTAAATGGCAAGCACTTTACACAGATTCTCCCATTTAATTCTTATATCCATTCTATAGGGTAGATATTATTTGCACTGTTTTACAGATTAGGAAGCCCAGGCTCAGGGAGGTTAAATAACTTATTTAAGATCACACATCCAGTAAGAGGCAGTCAGGAGCTAAAAGCAGTCCTAATCTAGAGTTAACTGCTACGTGACACTGCTTTCCTCGGATGTTTTGCTACTGTATCCTTTTATTAAGTCTCTGGTGAGTTTACACTTGGTCTAAGAGAGAAAGTTTAGGCTCTGTCAAACACTCTTTGTGCCTCTTCGTTTTAGCAATAAAGCCCCTAAAGTGGCTAAGCATGACCCAGACTTGACCTATAGACATCAAACCAGAGGGCAGCAATCTGGAGCAAACGCCTGCCTAGTCTCCTCTAGGGCTCATAATCTACGAGTTCACTCTTGGCGTGCCTATCAATTCTCCCACCTACTACACTCCCCAGTACTCCACCCCTGACTTTTGGCAAGAGAAAGGTTCAGCCCAGTGGGAAGACAGGCTGTCCTCCCTTAGGGAATGCAGTTCTCCCATCCTATAACGCGCAAATCTGCTACCTAGAAGGGCAAATTATACTCAAGGATACAGAACGAGTTAGTCCCAGTTCAGTTACTGGGTTTAGCTCACTGAACACAGTAATGTGCTTCATCCCCAAAGCAGACAAACACAAATCAGCTTCTTACAGGGAAACACCGAGCCTGAGGTCTGAGTCTTCAGAAAAGCCCAGGGAAAGCCCCAGAATAGGACTGAGGACCCAGGAACAAGAGTTCCGTCCTGGGTTGCGCCTCTGCCCCCGCCCCCTCAGACCCACCTCCGTCTCGCCTCGCGTCCACGTTCTAGGCCCCGCCCCCTTGGGGCCACAGCCAATCGGGGAGCCGCGAGCCCGCCGCACGTACCGCGCCCCCCTTCCTACCGGCCGCGCCCCCGCCGGCAGTGACGTGCCCCGCCCCGCAGCCGCGGGATTCAAACTCCCGGAAGCGGCGCCGGTGCCGCAGGGTGTGCCTGGGTCGACGCGTACGCCGGGCTTCGCCTCAGGTGCCGGCTGGTGGTGGCAAGGGTGGCCAGGGCCCGCAGCCCCGAGGCCAGATCGGACGGTGAGGGAGGCGGGATCGGCGGGCCGACAAAGTCGGCTTGGACTCAATCTCTGCCCGCCCTGATATATGTCCCTTTTCCCTGGCGCTTACTTCGTGCCTGGCACCGGGTTGGGAGCCTCACGATCGTCGGCGTGTCGATCCTTCCTTTCAGCTTTGCGGTGGGTATTATCATCCTCCTCCTTCCCTTTTTTTTGGCGCGGAGAGGCCAAGTGACTTGGCCAGGGTCTTTCGTGAGAACATCATTTTGCCCAAGCACGTTCATGTCTATTCTACAAACATCTTCATTTTAGAGGTGGGGGAAAAAAAGTGCCTCATTTTGCAGATTTTCTTTGCCTCCCTGTTTGCCCACACAGCTCCTATGTCAGGGTTTTTGTAAGATTTTTTAAAAAGATTTATTTATCTTGAGAGAGAGAGCCTACGCACAAGAGGGCGAAGGAGAGAGACTCTTAAGCAGCCGTGCCAGCATGGAGCGGACTTGGGGCTCCATCTCAGGACCCTGAAATCACCACCTGAGCTGAAACCACCCACTGTGCCACCCCGGCGCCCGTTTTTGTAAGATTTGCCTCCACTTGGGAACGATGTGGCCTGTAATCCATGCCTTGTGCGGGTTGTTGGATCGCAGTTTGCTTGGTCACCCCCTGTCCAGCATGTCTAAGATCACTTCAGCCAATCAGTAAATATATATTGAGCAGCCGCTGTTAGGTGCTGTGAGGGATAAAAATAATTCAAGGTTCGGCCCCTGAAACAACTGTTGAACAAATTTAAAAAGCGGATGTAGGGTGGGAGTAAACAGTTGTGTCCTATGGCATATTAGCTTATACAGAGGGAAGGCTTCCTGAAGAAGATGCAGTGGGTCAAAGTTTGAACAGTGTGAACCCTGTGAGTATCAGCCTGACTGGAATAGAAAAAACAGGGAAAGGTGGTTGGTGGGACTAAGTGGTGGGGAGCTGGAAGATCCCAGCAGGGTCTAGTCCAGAAGCTAGAAACAAAAGAGTCATTCATTGCAAGAGTTCTGTCCAGAGGCCAGGAAGAAATGTCCATCGGTTCCTTCCAGTTCTACTGACCTATATAGTTCCACCATTCTGAGTTTCAGTGATTTGGTTGAAAAGCCGTTTCCTGTCTTATCAACCCATTATACCAAGTCAATAATGTGTTAGTAACAGAACCATATAGAGAAGAACTTCCTGTGGCAGCAGGTTCTCAAGATAGCATAACCTTGCATTAGCCTTAATTGATTGACTAGTTATCTTAGTCTGTCACCTTGAATAGGCAAAAATCCAGGACTAACCTTTTGCTAGATGGTCTGTTCAACTCAGTTTACACAGCTCTAGTGTTTTCAGGCTCTCTGATTTCATACAGGATGATCCTAAAAGTTACTTTTACAGAGAGGCCTAGGTCTCCTCAATTTTTACTGGAATCACTTCTCACTACTTTTCATTTTCTATATAGTGTTAACTTTACAACTTGAGAACCTTTACAACTTAAGAATTTGTGTCTTTGTTATTTCTTGCCTCCTTTACTAGAGTGGAAGTTCCATTATGTAAGGGAACATTTCTCTTTCTTTTGTTTCTTTCTCTCTCTCTCTCTCTTTTTTTTTTTTTTTGCCCGTTTATACCCAGCATCTGTTATTCTGCCTGGTAAATTAGATTTTCCAATATTTTTTGAATGCATGAATGGTCTCATATTCCTCTAAATTTCTCAGTCACCACCATTATTTTATCTTGGGATCCATAAGGTGGAAAAATGCTTTTTAATCTCCCTAATTAAAGCTACTTTTATTATATACGCAGTATGTTTCACTACAGATTTTGCTCCAGGAGTTAATATACACTTCTTCTAAACTGTTAACTAATACTGTTAGCAGGTTCTAAGCTTCTTGTTACTTAATTTGGCCTCTTATTCTTAATTCTTGAGTATTGTGCCTCTTTTTCCTGATCTTGGATTCTCCTCACTTTTGCTTATTGTACTCTCAGCTGACTATTTACATAGATTTGAACTAGATCTATCTTCTAATACAGGACATATCATTATGTCAGGTAATGACATTTCAGTGCCTATGTTCTCAGAATTATATATCATTTACCACTAGCTTTTTATTCCTGGGTAAAATATGTCTTTGTGATCTATTTCATTCAGCCTCCATTTAATGATTTAATCATTGATCCCTCTTTTTAAATGAAACTTTTTCATTGAAATATGATACACATACAGAATCCTGCACAAAACATAAGCATCCAAGTTGACATATTTTTTAAAATTTTTATTTTAGTACCAGGATGGTTAACATATGGTGTCATATTAGTTTCAGGTGTATAATATAGTGATTCAACAATTCTGTACATTACTCAGTGTGCGTCAAGATAAGTTGACATATTTTTAAAAGGTGAATTCTCCCCATGTATCTACCACCCAGATTAAAAAATAGATATTGATACCAGCAAGCCAGAAGCCTTTCCCAGTTCCTCTCCCATATCCCACTGGTTTGGCTATATCACTTCTATTGAGAGAGAAATGTTCTTCTATTTAGCAAATAGGTTATTAGACCTTTTCAAGCCTGAGACTTGACCTTTTAAACTTAGACTAATTAAGTATAATTGTATTTTTATTTTTTACAGTTTCAGAGATGTCTTCCAGAAGTCCCAAAGGTTTAATTAAAGGTAAATGGGGATCAAAGCCTAGTAACTCCAAATCAGAAACTGCATTAGAAAAATTTAGGGGTGAAATTGAAGCCTTAAAAACATCAGTGGATGAAATCACAAGCGGAAAAGGAAAGTTGACTGATAAAGACAGACACAGGCTTTTGGAGGTGAGTGACCTTAAAAACCTTTTTAAATTGTAATAAGCTGTACTGTAGGAGATGAGAAAGTATTTTCCCAATAGTGATATAATTTAGTTTTTCTGCTCATTCACTAAATTTAAAAAATCAAAATTAATTTCAAAGTGTTCAGTAGAGTTCAGATTTTAATGTGAGTGCTTAAAAATGCATTTTATCATATATATTGGCTGCTTTCCAAGTAATCTTTGTTTTCAGATTTTTTGAGGTAAAATCATTACATATATTGGCATTTTGCATTCTATTAAACTATATTTCAGATTCTCTGATTTACAATTTGTTATGGCATAGTCAATAAAGCAGTTAGGAACTTATTAGATTTAAAAATTTAATCATTAGGGGCGCCTGGGTGGCTCAGTTGGTTAAGTGTCTGCCTTCAGCTCAGGTCATGATCCCAGGGTCCTGGGATCGAGCCCTGCATTGGGCTCCCTGCTCAGCGGGGAGCCTGCTTCTCCCTTGCCGCTCCCCCTGCTTGTGCTTTCTCTTTCTTTCTCTCTGTCAAATAAATAAATTAAATCTTTAAAAAAAAGTAATCATTAATTTAATTTAATTTATTTTGTAAAAGTTCTTTTATTGCTCATAGTTGGAAAATAAATGACCTGTATTGAATAGTATCATTGGATTCCTTTAAATTTTATTTTATAAGCACACTATAAAACTGAAAGATTTATTATTTTTTTAACAACACATATTGAGGTAAATACTTATTCAAGCGTTGAGAAATGATCTATTACCAATTCTTAGACATAAAGATTATTTTGCAATCTGGTGATGGAATCTAATAGTTTCCCTGAGAGACCTCTTTCCAGTTCTTTCCACTTTTGACAAGCACTGGTTGTCAAAACTTTGTCTGCTTATAATCAATTAAAATTAAATTCCTCTAACTTCTACCCATTTGTTCTAATTGTACCTATTACAGCCGCATAGAATAAGTCTATTTTTTATCCATATGACAACTTTTCAGATATTTGAGGAAATCTTGCTTTCTCTTACTTTTCTGTAGACCAACCCCATACTCTTCAGCGTTTCTAGCTTCTTATCATCCTGGTTACTTTCCCAAACACTTTGTGATGGGTTCATATTCCTTCTGAATTATGCACCCAATATTGTGCACAATGGCAAACACGGGTTGAAATGGCACTATTATTTCCAGTAATCTGGATGCTGTACTTTCCAAAAGCCTAAAATTATATGGGCCTTTTTTTTTTTTAACTGTATCATACTACCACCTTATCTTAGGCTTGAGGCAACTAAAATCCCCTCATCATTTTCACAGGGTCATCTAACTCAGTCTCCCCATTTTATGTTTGAACAACTGCTTCTCCCTTCCACCCCCAAGCAAGTTTGTATTATGTTGTTTTTACCAGGTTAGCATGTAAAGTCATTCTGTTAACTTTTTATTGGCTCTCCAGAGGTGCTTTCTCCTTTATGTCAGCAGCAGCTTAACAAGCATGCCTTCTTTATGTTTTAAATCCTTGAAAATGTGAACACTCCTTTGAAGATCATCTTTTACATTTGATACCAAATCATTTATTAACAAAACAAGGCATTTTTATCCAGCTGTAACGTTCTGTTCTTTTTAAGTTCTATTGCTTCAAGTTCATTAATGAGCATGTATCTCTTGTATGATTACTTTTAGCCTTTAAGATGATTAAAACTGGTATGATGGAAGGATGATTATCAGATACTCATGTGAGAGCCAGCTTTTCTTTAGCTTTCTCTTACCACTCTTGACAGAGTTGGTTTCTCCTTTCTGTGTCTGTCTCCCATTCATTTCAGATATCCCTTACCATATTGCATTAATGTATTGGTTTACCTCTCAATGAGGTCTCTGAGCGTAGGACCTTGGCTTCATTTTCTTTTTGGCCCTGGTGTTTAGTATAATGCTGACTTGATATATAATAAACCCTTCATAAATACTTGTTGTATGTTGTTTATTTTCATGTTTGACCTGGCTTTGTTCTAAGATTTTTCTTAGTTTATATCTAGAAAATTCGAGTCCTGGAAGCTGAGAGGGAAAAGAATGCTTATCACCTCACAGAGAAAGACAAAGAAATACAGCGACTCCGAGAGCAGCTGAAAGCCAAGTACAGCAATACTGCATTGCTTGAACAGCTGGAGGAGAAAACAAAGGAAGGTGAAAGGAGGGAACAGCTGTTGAAATCCTTGTCTGAAGAGACAGATGTATTGAAAAAACAGTTGTCTGCTACAACTGCAAGACTTGCTGAACTTGAAAGCAAAGCCAGTACACTTCGCTTATCACAGGTACTCATCATTTTTTTAAACCCAGATTTTTTTCCTTTTGCTGTAAGAAACAACCTCCAAATCTCATGGTCTTACACAACAAATGTTCATTTTTCCCTCATGTCACAGTCTAGTGCACATGGGAGGCTTTGCTCTGCAGAGTCACTCAGATCCAGGTTCCTCCCTTTTAGTGGCTCCCTTGTCCTTGCACCAGATCCTCCGTGTACAGCTGTAAGCTAGAAGGAGTGTGTGGAGCATGAGGGGAGGGTCTGGGGGCCAGGCCTGGCATTGGCATATTTCACTTCTACCCATATTCCATTGGACAGAATTCAGTCTCATGGTCTCACTAACCTTAGCAGGGAAGGCTGGGAAATACCATCCACAGCGTGCCCAGGGGAAATGGAAGGGGAAGTTTGGTGAACTGCCTCTGTCCTAGTTTTTACCAAGAGGACTAAATCAAGAGGGAGAAAGGGCTACGAGGTGAGCATCTAGAGTACCTTTGGAGAAAAATATTTTGTGATTTGTTGCCAATGTTCACACAAGCCTCTTTCCTTAAAGCTGTTAGAAGACCGAAATATAGCTTGTTATGAGTTTTGTTGATTAGTCTGGATACCTAACCATCCAACCATCCAACCTCTCTTTCTTTCCTCTATGTGAAAATCAAAAAAAAAAAAAAAAGAGAGAGAGAGAAATTATGTTTTGAGTTCTATATAATCTGTATGAACTAATACTAATTAATACTCTTAATACAAATATAATTCTAGAAAGAAAACAACTTTTATCTTTTGTTTGACAATTTAATATTTTCCAGATTTCACTTAAATGGCCCGACTGTTTTGTTTTGTCTCATTTTGGTGAAAATCACTGGGCAATTCTTATGCACTGAGGTATTCTAATGATCCAGAGAACCTCAAATTAGGTATGAAATCTCAGGGCTTCCAATCTGCTGAAGGAGTTTCCAGGAGATCTTCATTCTCCTCTGGTACCCATCACCTGGCATGATGGGTCATCAGCATCTACAAGATTTCTTTGTGAAGTATACTCTGTTATTATAGAACTAGATATAATGAGGAAACTTCTCTTGTTAAATTTACGATATTAACTAATATTGGTTTATTTTAGACAGTGGCTACAAGCTGCTTCAACTCATCAATGAATAATATTCATGAAATGGAAATACAGCTGAAAGATGTAAGTTCATTTTCTTTTTATTTTTTTAAAGATTTTATTTATTTGAGAGAGAGTGAGAGCACGAGGAGGAACAGAGGGAGAAGGACAAGCAGACTCCACACTCAGCGTGGAGCTCGATGTGGGGCTTGATTTCATGACCCTGCGATCATTACCTGAGCCACCCAGGTGCCCCTCATTTTCCTTTTATTATGTTATGGGAAGAGAGGATTAATTCATTCATTCTTAAATTTCATGGAAATTGTGACTTGAAAACAGTCTGTTGAGGAGATGGAGAACTGAATGGTTTGAGATCATCTCCCTAGGTTACTACCTATAAGTCTCTTTCTAGACATTCAAGAGGGCCAGTTCCTCTAGTCCTGGTCTCATTAGGTGAGAAAGCCCTAGAAATCATCCAAATAGCTCAATAACGTTCCTTCTTCACCTAAATCTAATTTGCCCAATTATTATATTATTACGGTGTAATTTATAATTTCTTCTCTTTTTGTTTATCCATGCAAGATGTACTCATTCATTTGAAATTCTTCCCTTGGAACCAGGCTATGCTTTCATAGTTTGAAAAGGAAACACATTCTTTGTATACTCAGTACTTCTTTTCTATAGAATCTGTTATGAGGCTATTCTAGATATTTGGTAAGGCTATATTATTTCAAACTTATGTCTTAAATAGATTGATGTGTTTCATTGAGAATTGAATAAATTGAGGACATAGGACTATTATTCACGGTGTATTTTTTCATGTTTTAATATCAGATACACAAAGTATAAAATTCTTGAGTTAATTATTAGGCCAGTGGATAGGTATTTTGATTCCAGAAATATTACTGGTTCTACCCTGCTCTAAGTTGCTCTTAAGATTCCTGTTTTATTTCATCTAGCCAGTGTACCTAGAGGTCTATTTGATCTTCAAAAGAATTTAAATCCGTTGAGTGTCTGTATCGTGATGTACTGCAGTAGGCTTTTCACCTATAGGTAACTAAGATAAAGAAGAAACATAATTTTTAAAGATCTTTCAAAATAAGTTCTTTGTGTTGTATGTTACACTGACCTTTATCATTCTGTATCAGTACCTACCAGATGCACGTAGCTATGAATAATTTATCTACACACCTGCTTTCCCCCTTATTTACTCCAGCCATGCTGGCTTTCTAGCTATTCCTTCAATACACTGCCTTTTCTTTCTGTTCCCTCTGCTGGTACCCTGTTCCCCCCAGATATCTTCATGACCTGCTTCCTTACTTCATCGTATAATATTCAGTTGTCACTCTCTTGGGTGGGAGGGGTGGGGGTAGTGGGGCCGGGGCCAGAGTGTTACCTAGCCACCTTTTCTAAAATTATAGCTCCCAGACAATTCCTATTACCTTTTCCTGCTTTTGTAACTTTTCCCCTCATCACATATTACTGTTAAACTTACAATATATTTTGCTCATTTACTTTGTTACATGAGTCTTACATTGGTATATGTTTAATGAGGGAAGGATTTCTGTGGTTTTTTTTCACTGCTATATGCCCAGTGTCTAGAACATCTGAATTTTATTAGTACCTGAAAATATATGCTATATATATAATTTTTAGGCTTCTCAGCATCAACTGCTTCAAATATCAGTTAAAGTTATTTTTAGATAATGACAATTCTTTGTATGAAGGTAACTTGGAAATGTTATCCATGTGTACCCAATCTTTTTGTTCTGTTTTATCTTCCAGGCTCACTTAAGGATCACATTGTGCTCCTCTGCTCTGTTTACTTTAGAAAGGCTTTTATTTTATTTTATTTTTTTTTTAATTTTATTTATTTATTTGACAGAGAGAGACACAGCAAGAGAGAGAACACAAGCAGGGGGATTGGGAGAGGGAGAAGCAGGCTTCCCGCGGAGCAGGGAGCCCGATGTGGGGCTCGATCCCAGGACTCTGGGATCATGACCTGAGCCGAAGGCAGACGCTTAAAGACTGAGCCACCCAGGCGCCCCTAGAAAGGCTTTTAGATAAGTGGAGTAAAATTTAACCCAGCTCACCTTCAAATGGTCTAGACTGAACAAGGCCTCCCTGACTCTCACATGCATATGAGCCTAGGGGATCTTCATCAAATGCAGATTCTGATTTCATTGGTTGGGATAGGGCCTGAGATTCTGCATTTCCAATAAGCTCCCTGCTGCTGCTGCATTCACTTACATATTTGAGGAGCAGGGGATGGTTTAGCTCTGGTTGTCTGTGAGCCCGGGAGGAGACTAGGGAGCAGGGAAAGCAACCTGTCACTCCTCTGAGCACAGGCGCTGCCGCATTATCCTGCTTTGAGAGCTTAGCAGTTCCAGTCCCTCACCCTTCCTCCAAGCTCCCACAAAGCTTCCTGGAGCACTTTGCCCACCTATTTTAAGAATCAGTATTTGCTCTGCTAAAATAATCCCTAAAAACCCATGTTTACCTTTCTTAAGGCCTAGCTGTATCATTCCTTAGCTACCATTTAGGTCTAGCTGACATTTTGAAATAATTACATGGAGTTCGTACTGTAAACACTGTACAGTGTCATTAACTTGCAAACCAGATAGGCTAAGAGGCAGTTGAAATAGGCATTTCCTGCTCTTAATTTTAAAAATCTAATTTTTAAAACAGAATTTAGGGCAGATAAATAATTATTAATTTTTTATTTGGAAAAAAATCAAATTTACAGAAAAGTTATAAGAATGAAAATGGTACATAGAGCACCCATATACTCTTTACTAAAATTCAAACATTGTTAACATTTTGCTCCATTTCACACCTCTCTTTCAGTCCCTACCCCGCCCCTCACACACACATAATATTTTTTTTTCTGAACCATTTGAGAGTGAGTTGCATATATTACGACCCTTTAAACCTATATACTTCAGTATATATTCCTCAGAATGAGATGTTCTCTTACATGACTACAGTACAGATAGCAACTTTATTTTTTTTTAAGATTTTATTTAATTATTTGAAAGAGAGGGGAGGAGAGAGAGCATGATTGGGGGTAGGAGCAGAGGGAGAAGCACAGGGGAGGGAGCCTGACAGGGGGCTTGATCCTGAGATCACGACCTGAGCCGAAGGCAGACGCTTAACCGACTGAGCCACCCGGGTGCCCCCAGATAGCAACTCTAATAAATTTAACATGGACGCTATACTTCTATGTAATCTACCATCCATATTCCAGTTTCGTCAATTGACCTACATTTTTTATTCCTCCAGTATAGGCTAACATTTTAACCTGTGTTACAGTTTTTGCCCAAGAAACAGAAAATGGATCCCTGTGAAGCCAGGAGGAAGAGCTTTAGTGGCATTTCACAGGACTTCACCTTTGCCCACTTCTGTTCCATATTTTTATCAATAACTTGAGTGGAAATGTTAAATGCATGCTTAACAGATGTGTAAAGGACACAAAGCTGCAAGAGATAATAATACAATGATGACTCTAAAGATGCAAAACTAATAATCAGCATTATTGATGGCCATCAAATCCATTTATTATTGATACTATTTAGAGAAGAAAGCAAATGCAGAAGTCAGTGAGAAGAGGCCTGGAGGAAAGAAATGTTGACTACTTTACTGAAGTAACATCGCCATCACCTGGCCTTTCAGAATATTGCCCCTCAAATCCTCACCCATCCCAAAGTTCGGGTTTTCATACTTAAGTAATGTATGGACAGGTTCATTTAAAAGAAGAAAATTTCATTACCATCCAGTGTTGACTTGAATTATTTATATTGAATTGTTTCTTAAAGATGGACAAATTTAAAATTTGATATAAAATTCCATATCTTTAGCATCTAACACATATCACAACGCATATTTAGATATGTGCATGCTCTTTGAGTCCTACAACACTACCTCTTTTGGCAACTGAATTTGAGTATATAATACAGAGCAGATGTACATTATCTCCACTTTACAAATGAATGCTTAAGCTCTGCGAGGAGAACTCACGTTATAACTGCCTGACGGGTGCAGAGAGAAAAGTGTGTGGCCAAGTGACTGGAGGGCCCTGGACTGTCTTTGATTCCAGAGGCTGCCTCTGTCTCTCTAATCCATTTCTTAGTTCTACAGAAAACAGCCACGGAAAATTCTTTAAGCCCCATGCCTAGATGCTCATGAGTTTGTACGATGCTCATGGAAAGAGCCTACCAAAGGTTAGAGGAACTCTCTAGACTTAAGAGCTTTTGTATAGACAGATCTTTTCAGATTTAAAGCTCAGCCGTTTAGATCTTTAACGGATAGAAATTCTTACCCTGAAAGAAGATCTCTTGATATAGAACCGAAAATGTCTAGTATGTTCCTTACCACTTTTCCCATCTCACCCCTACGACGAGATGCCAGCCTGTGGGGAGGGGAGCCTCTCCTTTTTCAGTATATTTACAACAAATGCAGGGTGATTCAAAAAGAATTGAGCACTTTTGAAAATATATTCCAGTATGTATGTTTTACTTCAGTCCGCTTTGACCAGGCAACTTTTTGTCAAGAACTTTATGTTTGTACCATCCTTTTTTTTTTGGCCACCCCCAAAGGATATGAAATTATACGTCCTGGCTGCCCCTTCAACCATTGATGATAATAGATTCCAACAGGTCTGGGATGAATTATGACACAAGGGTACATATTATGCACTTGTGAAAATCATAGAAATAGCTGTGATAGTTCTGTTACAAAGGGGTTTGAAATTCATTTTCATATATTCCTTAGGTCATGAGTGATAGCTTTTTGAGAGTGTTTGCTTCTTTTTGAATCATTCTAAATGGATTGTTCTACTGTGTATAAGGAACTTCTAGATTCTTTCATGCCGTTTCCTCCCTTCCCAAATACTCTCAAACTTCAGTTTGGGGCTAAAGACCTGCGTGGGTGCTTGCTGATTCTGGCAACCATGCTTTCTCCGCTCTGTGTCGTCACCATCGTTCACGTTTATCAAGCAGCTACTTGCTATGGAAACATCGAACACATGAATGGAACCATACAAAATCTAAACAAGCCTGGGCCCAGCTGTCCAGGGGCTCATGATCTAGTTCATATAAGAACTATCATCAGGACACAATCAAGGTCATGAGTGTAAGATGCCAGATAGATTGAATGGACATTAAAATCCCTGTTGGCTTACAAAGGAGAGGGAGCTTGGTGAGGGCACTTAGGGTGAGGAGGCTTGAAAGACAAGCTTGGATGCATTGGAACTTGATGAAGAGGTGGGATTTAAGTGGGCAGATGGTATAGGGAGGAGTTGTAGGGCATTCTGGGCACAGAGGGTGTGTATAGTTGTGTGGACAGCAAGGTGGCAGTGGAGGCCAGAAATGGCCAGGCTGTCACCTGAAGAGATGGGAAGGGACAGACTGCAGACCATTTGAATGTTAGCCTAAGGGAACATAGCTTCAGTTTTAGCAAGTGCTGTCATGAAGCTTTCAAAAATTCTGTTACTAATATAATTAAAACGATGTCGCACTTTGGGGGAACAAGGGAGAGGTTGAACTGAACTTATTAAGAGTAGTTATTTTTCCCTCCAAAATAGAGTGGTCATTGTATTAATTAACTGGAAGCTTTTGGTGATAGCCTGTGTCTCCCCTTACTCTCATAATGGGGAAATCTCCTGCCAAACAGGATTTATCGAGATCCAGCAGTGAATCATTGCTCAACTAGGCATTCCCGTGGAGGCAGACAAGTCATAGCGTGGGTGCCGGGGCCAAGGACTCAAATGAGCTCCCCTACAAATGAGCTTGGCTATCGTGAAGGGGTGTTCATGTCACTATGTGGGCCTCCTTCTAGGATGCTTCGTCCATAACCTTTTACACGTGTGACATCAGGTTTAGATGTACATGGCCTCTCTACACAAATGGTCATTGAGACTTACTTCCCCAGCCTATCAAGAACAAAGAGCGAGAAAGGGACAGTCCCATCTCCTTAGACTGAACTTCCAGGTTAGAAAGGAGAGAAGAGTTATAATCTCATTGCCAAGGTGATGCTGTATAAGAATTTCTAGGCTTTTCTCCCCAGCACCACCAGACAGTTGTCTTTTTTGCTAGCTTTTAACCTGAACCTGTGCCCCACTTTCAGTAACAAACTAAGGTAGGGGGCCGGGGGGAAGGTAGTATGCGATTGCTGGAGATACTGTCTGCGTGGGGAGCTCCTGAGCAGAGTTGTGTGTAGGGTGGAAATCTCTGTTTGGAGCAGTGCACATCCAGCTCTGCCACAGAGGCATTCTAGTTTACGGAGTGTGACATGGACAGACGCAAACCATGGTGTCAGGTGCTCTGAAGGAGCCTGAAGTCAGAAAGGATCTCCGGGTGAGTTGTGAGCCGTGCAGTGGTGGTTTACAGTTCTATATGACCCACGAGAATTTCTTTGTACTGGGAAAGGCTGCATCACTGGAGCTCCCTTATCCATTTTAAGATTTTAGTTTTTTTTTTTTTTTTTAAAGATTTTATTTATTTATTTGAGAGAGAA